AAGACCCTTCCATCTATGAAGAGTATTTGATTCTACCATATCAGGATCTTGAGTAGAAGTTTTTTGAAATTTTAGCCAATTTGACCCTTTTTGGCACCACCCATCAGCCCCTGGGGGCCAGTCAGGGCTGATATGTGCATACCATCAAACTTCTATCCAATGCTGATAATGCTAACCAAGTTTGAATTAATTCCGATGGTAATTAAACAAATGCTGGTCTAAAATGTGATTTCCCTATATAAACTATAGTAAAATGTATCCCCTCCCCAGGGGAAAACTCAAGACCCCAGGGTCATGAAATTCACAATTTTGGTAAAGCACCTTATATATATTTAAGACCCTTCCATCTATGAAGAGTATTTGATTCTTCTATATCTGGATCTTGAGAAGAAGATTTTTGAAATTTCAGTCATTCAACTCTTTTTGGCCCCTACCATCAGCCCCTAGTTTCAGTCAGGGCTGATATGTGCATATCATGAAACTGCTATCCAATACTGATAATGCTAACCAAGTTTGAATTAATTCCGATGGAAATTAAACAAATGCTGGTCCAAAATGTGATTTCCCTATATAAACTATAGTAAAATGTATCCCCTCCCCAAGGGAAAAGGTAAAACCCCAGGGTCATGAAATTCACAATTTTGGTAGAGCTTCTTAAGACCCTTCCATCTATGAAGAGTATTTGATTCTACTATATCTGGATCTTGAGAAGAAGATTTTTGAAATTTCAGTCATTCAACTCTTTTTGGCCCCTACCATCAGCCCCTAGGTTTCAGTCAGGGCCGATTTGTGCATATCATGAAACTGCTATCCAATACTGATAATGCTAACCAAGTTTGAATTAATTCCGATGGAAATTAAACAAATGCTGGTCCAAAATGTGATTTCCCTACATAAACTATAGTAAAATTTATCCCCTCCCCAAGGGGAAACGTAAAACCCCAGGCTCATGAAATTAACAATTTTGGTATAGCTTCTTAAGACCCTTCCATCTATGAAGAGTATTTGATTCTACCATATCTGGATCTTGAGTAGAAGATTTTTGAAATTTTAGTCAATTTGACCCTTTTGACCCCGCCCCTCAGACCACTGGGGGCTGGGGACCATATAATTCACAATTTTGATTGACCTTTGGCCATGGAAGGTTTTTGCAAAATTTCATTGAAATTGGTTCAGGGGTTTCGGAGAAGAAGTTCGAAAATGTAAATTGTTTACGGACGCACGACGCTGGACAAAAGGCGATCGCAATAGGTCAAAGTCTCAAGTGACCAAAAAATCCCTTCATTCATATTTAAACCGTTGTCTTTCAAAAGTTTTCCTTATTGGGCCCTTCCCCTCAGCCCCAAAAGGGGTCACACTCTTTATTTATACAACAATGAAATCTTTTAAATAAAAATCTGTCCATCCATTATATTATAACTTAAGAAGTAGGATTTTTTTGAAGATTCAACCCTTTACAATGAACCATCTTGGGCTTGGGAGCTTCATATCAAATTATGTCAAATTATATTGCCTACTTTGTAGTTTAGGGGTAAAAAATCAGAAATTAATCATATTTCCCATATTGGGCTCTGTACCACTGGGGGTGCCCGTGGTGTAGGGCACACCAGTCAATGTAACACTGATTTCCTTAACACAGGTTTACTCAATACTAAATTTAGATGAAACTCTTTAGCCAATCTAGACTTGTAGGGTTTTTAAGGGACATTTCTAAACATTATTCTTCAAGTTGGTAAGTATGGATTATGAAAAGTTCTTTTTTACACAACCAATAAAATGTTCTATGTGACGTTTCGATGACCAGTACGATATGTACACTTTCACCTTCAACAGACAAATGACCAGTGAAGCGTATGCACACAAAATTAAAGGTGTAAAATATGTACGAGTTGTCCAGAAAATTGATGTCAATTTCAGCTACTCTGTAAGCGCATGTACAATAGTTGTTATATATGTACCGAAATGACTCAATCCAGCTACGCTTTGTTTAATACTTGGTCATAGATGTGCGAGAGTCTTTGAGCCCCCTCGTCTCGATTTAGAACTGGCCCACTGCGTCGTATCCAGATGGCTTCCTTTATCTGCCGCTTGAACAGATTGCTCTCTCTGTCCAATACTTTGGAGTATCCCAGTCAATCACATGATTTTTCTGTGTGGCATGGTCTGTGTTTGCCGATTTATTTATCTGGGACCTAGACTGCTTCCATTCTTATTTGGTGAATTTCCTACTTTCTTGGGTTTCTGTACCTTTCCGGTGTTCACCAAGGCGAACCCCAAAATGCCTTCCAGTCTCTCCAATATACGACGTGTCGCAGTTTTTTGCATCCGATTTTGTATATGCATTCTGCGACGTTTTCTTTAGGTGTTTTATCCTTAGGGTATACCAGGATATTGTGAAGCGCCTTGTAGGGCTTCATGGCTGTTGTGATAAATCCTCTGGATGGTTTCGGATATACCCTTTATATATGGGATGACCACTTGACCTTTGGTTTTGTTCTTATCCTTGATTGGCCTTTTTTTGTTCTTCTCCTTACTTTGACACTGTTTTTGTACCCATTTTAGGGGAAGCCATCTGGATACGCCACAGTGGGCCAGTTCTAAATCGAGACGAGGGGGCTCAAAGACTCTAGCACATCTATGAGCAAGTATTAAACAAAGCGTAGCTGGATCGAGTCATTTTGGTACATATATAACAACTATTGTACATATGGTTACAGCGTAGCCAAAATCGATATCAATTTTCTGGACAACTCGTACACATTTTACACCTTTGTGTGCATACGCTTCACTGGTCATTTGTCTGATGAAGGTGACAGTGTACATATCGTACTAGTCATCGAAATGTCATATAGAAAATTTTATTGGTTGTGTAAAAAAGAACTTTTCATAATTTTTAAGGGAAAGTTGACAACAAGTGACAGACATGAGTTCACTTGACCCTTCTTGCCAGGTTATCTAATATTAATTCTACAATATAGACAGTTTTATGATTAATTTAACCAAACAACATGGAATAGAAGTAAATATGTTCACACAATAAAATATGTATCCATGCTATTAATTTGATGATATATAAAACACACAATTTTAGGTTAACCTACACTGTTTACGGTTACGACTGGAAAATTGAATTCTTGACATGGACAATCTAGAATTGTTGTACAGCCACACAAACCAAAATAAAACTGCAGTAACACAAACAGAAAACCAATTCAGCAGAAGTCAGAGATGTTTTAGTGAGGATAGATTCAATGGATAAATATGGAAATTATACAATACATCTTTATTTTACACTAATTTTTTTTATCTTTTTAATATACTATATCTATCAAACAAGGTTACCTTCTAAACCTAGCATTAAGAAATTTTCAATTTATAGGTATCTGTTCAAATCCATAATGAATTTTATGAGTGTTGGTACCTTAATTTTAAATAACTGCAATCCTCTTTATTGTTGTCTAACTCGCTGTAACCATATTATTAACATATGTCTATGAAAATATCAAAATTTTAGGAATAAAACTTTAACAAATAATTCCTTTTAAAAAATGTTTTTTGTTAAAACCACATATAGCTAGGTAACTTGAATGTGTTAATGACGATCAGATGGGAACCAAATCAATGTAAGGTTTCCTGTGATTGGTCAATGATAACTTATCAACGATTGGTGGATTTGAAACATCATCGGTGTAACTCTATGGTAAATGGCCAATACCTGGACGGCCTCTCTAGGAGGATTCCCGCATAGGAAGCTGATGCAGCAGGAATAAATGACAAGGTAGGATAAAAGAATCGGCCTAGGATTTTCCTGTCAACAAAGAAACAATATTGGATGTCAATTTCTGTAAACCTTACCAATCAAGTTAGTGTTCCTACCTTTTTTGCCAATTAGTACCCACAACAGAAATATTGTCTTTCAATCAATCAAGAAATTCACCTGTTTGTGGCTACTGACTGGCAAAAAAATCCACTAATATTTAGTATAAACAGATCTTTTAGAGAAACCTTTCATCCAAATCTGCAGAAACGGAGCTGGTATACATATCTGATCTAGTTGACATGGTCTTGTATTGTGTATTTCAAATAGAAACAACTGCAAAATATGTGTAGAAATCAGAGATATGTTTGAGCACCAGATAGGCAATGAGAGGGATGAAAGGCTTCTCCTGGAACCTGAAGCATGAACCACAAGTAAGAAGTGACAGGCATCTGATCCAGCCTGATACAGCACTGTGTGACGTCTGCTGGAGCCACAGAGACACCCAACCCCTGATCCCTGCCCTGTTGTGTGTCAGATCACAAGACCCACCCCAGTGTGCTGTCAGTAAAACTGGTAAATATACCAAGATCTCATCAGAAAAACCACCCCAATTTTACAGAGAACAGTTTGTCTTCAGTCTGAGACTCTATATCAGAATCATCAGCCTGTAAGAGGAGACAAGCTATCCTGATTTATCTGTTTCAACATTTCAGAGGATACCTAATCAGCTCCATCAATTGTCCAGAGTACATGTATCTCAGACTGTCATCAGTGCCAACTTCAGTGGGTTATTCTGTGATACAAACAAAACAGCAAGGAGGAGTGAAAAATACATGAGGGGAGACAATCGTGACAAAAGCCAAATGGTCAATGACCGATCCACATTCCATTCCTAATCCCAACGGCTACTATGTACACCTCTGATCCCAAATAGTGCCAAAAGGAATTTTTATTGAAATTCAAAAACCAATAATGTTTAAGTAAAAAAAGTAACAGATTGACAGAATAAGTGTACATGAAAAATTGAAAGAATCAGTATGGAATCTATGTGGATTGAGTCAGAATTATCTCCCCTGTGTGAGACCCTACAGAGATCTGTATACCTGTCTTTCCTCTCTATGCTAACTGACATTGCACAAGCTGGGATTCCACACAGGAATACATTGAGGAATATGTAAAATCCTGTTAACTTTCTGAAATAAAAATGACATTTCAAAGTTATCATAGAAACAATTCATTATTTTTTTTATACTTATTCAAATGGTACATACGTCACTATATACTACCTCATAAAAATTTACTGAAGTTCAACTCAATACTACGACATGTATAACATTGGAGACTAAATATATAGCACCTTATAGTGATGATCAGAACTAATTGACAGCCATTACAGGGATGTATATATATAAATTAGTAAACACAACAAGTTCTGAATGAATTGATGACATATACAACGAAAGGTTTAGTATCCATGTCATGCAGAATCTCAATGTAGCTTAATAGTATATGCTTTAATTAGGTAAGGGTTCATGCACATACAATGTTATGTAGTTCCTTACAACTCTTAATGAATAAAAACTCAAGAATCCTATAGATATATGAAACATCTAAAAATAAAATTTCGTTCCTCTGACAGGGTGACAGCTACTGATTTACACATGTACAGCAGAATTGTACAGTAATAAGGGACTTATGACACACATGATCAATACTACATATAAGTATGCTACTACCGGGCCAACTGACCAGACATGTTACCACTAACACATATAAATACACTACTACCGGGCCAACTGACCAGACATGTGACCACTTACACATATAAATACACTACTACCGGGCCAACTGACCACGTGCACACATGTGACCACTAAAACATATAAATACACTACTACCTGGCCAACTAACCACACATGTGACCACTAACGCATATATATACACTACTACCTGGCCAACTGACCACACATGTGACCTCTTACACATATAAATACACTACTACCTGACCAACTAACCACACATGTGACCTCTTACACATATAATTATACTACTACCTGGCCAACTGACCACACATTTGACCTCTTAAACATATAGTTACACTACTACCTGGCCAACTGACCACACATATGACCTCTTACACATATAAATACACTACCACCTGACCAACTGACCACACATGTGACCTCTTACACATATAATTACACTACTACCTGGCCATGCAACTGACCACACATGTGACCTCTTACACATATAATTATACTACTACCTGGCCAACTGACCACAAATGTGACCTCTTACACATATAATTACCCTACTACCTGGCCATGCAACTGACCACACATGTGATCTCTTACACATATAATTATACTACTACCTGGCCAACTGACCACACATATGACCTCTTACACATATAATTATACTACCACCTGGCCAACTGACCACAAATGTGACCTCTTACACATATAATTATCCTACTCCCTGGCCAACTGACCACAAATGTGACCTCTTACACATATAATTACCCTACTACCTGGCCAACTGACCACACATATGATTTCTTACACATATGATTACACAACTACCTGGCCAACTGACCACACATGTGACCTCTTACACATATAACTACACTACTACCTGACCAACTGACCACACATTTGACCTCTTACACATATAATTACACTACTACCTGACCAACTGACCACACATGTGACCTCTTCCACATATAATTACACTACTACATGGCCAACTGACCACACATGTGGCTTCCTACACATATAATGACACTACTACCTGGCCAACTGAACACACATGAGACCTCTTACACATATAACTACGCTACTACCTGACCAACTGATCACACATGTGACCTCTTACACATATAATTACACTACTACCTGGCCAACTGACCACACATATGATTTCTTACACATATAATTACACAACTACCTGGCCAACTGACCACACATGAGACCTCTTACACATATGATTACACTACGTCCTGACCAACTGACCACACATGTGACTTCTTACACATATAATTACACTACTACCTGACCAACTGACCACACATGTGACCTCTTACAAATATAATTACACTACTACCTGACCAACTGATCACACATGTGACCTCTTTCACATATAATTATACTACTACCTGGCCAACTGACCACACATGTGACCTCTTACACATATAATTACACTCCTACCTGGCCAACTGACCACACATGTGACCTCCTACACATATAATTACACTACCAACTGACCAACTGATCACACATGTGTCCTCTTACAAATATAATTACACTCCCACCTGACCAACTGACCTCACATGTGACCTCTTACAAATATAATTACACTTCTTCCTGACCAACTGACCACACATGTGACCCCTTACACATATAATTAGACTACTACCTGGCCAACTGACCACACATATGATTTCTTACACATATAATTACACAACTACCTGGCCAACTGACCACACATGAGACCTCTTACACATATAATTACACTACTTCCTGGCCAACTGACCACACATGTGACCTCCTACACATATAATTACACTACCACCTGACCAACTGACCACACATGTGACCCCTTACACATATAATTAGACTACTACCTGGCCAACTGACCACACATATGATTTCTTACACATATAATTACACAACTACCTGGCCAACTGACCACACATGAGACCTCTTACACATATAATTACACTACTGCCTGACCAACTGACCACACATGCGACCTCTTACACACATAATTACACTACTACCTGGCCAACTGAACACACATGTGACCTCTTACACATATAACTACACTACTACCTGGCCAACTGACCACACATATGATTTCTTACACATATAATTACACAACTACCTGGCCAACTGACCACACATGAGACCTCTTACACATATAATTACACTACTCCCTGGCCAACTGACCACACATGTGACCCCTTACACATATAATTACACTACTACCTGTCCAACTTTCCACACATGTGACCTCTTACACATATAATTACACTACTGCCTGGCCAACTGACCACACATGTGACCTCCTACACATATAATTACACTACCAACTGACCAACTGATCACACATGTGTCCTCTTACAAATATAATTACACTCCCACCTGACCAACTGACCTCACATGTGACCTCTTACAAATATAATTACACTACTACCTGACCAACTGACCACACATTTGCCCTCTTACACATATAATTACACTACTACCTGACCAAATGACCACACATGTGACCTCTTAAAAATATTATTACACTACTACCTGACCAACTGACCACACATTTGACCTCTCACACATATAATTACACTACTTCCTGACCAACTGACCACACATGTGACCTCTTAAACACATAATTACACTACTACCTGGCCAACTGACCGCACATGTGACCCCTTACACAGATAATTACACTACTACCTGGCCAACTGACCGCACATGTGACCCCTTACACAGATAATTACACTACTACCTGACCAACTGACCAAACATGTGACCTCTTACACATATAATTACACTCCTACCTGGCCAACTGACCACACATGTGTCCTCTTACACATATAATTACACTACTGCCTGACCAACTGACCACACATGTGACCTCTTACACACATAATTACACTACTACCTGGCCAACTGACCACACATGTGACCCCTTACACATATAATTACACTACTACCTGGCCAACTGACCACACATGTGACCTCTTACACATATAATTACACTACTACCTGACCAACTGACCACACATGTGACCCCTTACACATATAATTACACTACTACCTGACCAACTGACCACACATTTGACCTCTTACACATATAATTACACTACTACCGGACCAACTGACCACACATGTGACCTCTTAAACATATAATTACACTACTACCTGACCAACTGACCACACATTTGACCTCTTACACATATAATTACACTACTTCCTGACCAACTGACGACACTCATGACCACCAACACATATAAATCGCTACCATACCTGGCCAACTGACCACACATA